CTTTGCATCTTTACAACTTTAATAGAATGTTTATATGCTATATTGCATATTTCATTTAGGTGCCAAGTGAAAGCTTATCTTTATCCAGGTCTTTGGGCTTCATTAGTTAATCCCTAATACTGATGTATATCATTTTAAAATCTTTAAAATCAATTTAACAAATTATTACCATATTTACTCATGTATAAATTGACCTCATGTTTAAGTTGAGGGTGGATTCTGGAGCCAAAATTATGGATTTTGATGTGACCCATGGATATGTTGAGTGTCATTCTCAAGGGGTCAGCCTCCCAGCCACTGCCAGCATTTCCCACCCAAAAGTAGTGCAAAGGCATGGAGAGTCAAGGGAATCATTGCTTCTTTTAGGGTTCCTCAGGATGGAACAAGCCTACATCTTTTGCTACTCTTCAGAGAAGAGGAAGGTGACAATCAGAATGACTACGGTGTACGATTTTTGGATCATGTGATTTTAATATTTATACTAGGAAGTTTTTAATGCTTTGTTTTAATGTTTAAATGTGGTTTATATGTTTAATGGTTGTAATAATTTTTAGTTATATGTTAGTGTTTAGTTATTACATTTTTTTCTTTCTATTTGTATATGGCATTGAATTTTTACCATTAATATATTGTAAACCACCTTGAGTCCCATCCCCCCCCCCCCGGCCCGGGGTGAGAAAAGCGGTATATAAATATAGTAAGTAAATAAATAAATAAGCTTCCTTTTTCATTTGAAGATATAGCACTTACATTGACACATGGATATGTTGGCCTAGGTTTTTGGAGTCAATTTTTTTGACTAACATTTCTAGACTTACACATAAGCATATACTACAGCGAATTTAATATGTTTTAGTTTATTCAAATTACATTAAAATCATTTAACTTCTTGTTTTGATATTATTCGTAAACTCTCCTGGAATCTTTTAAAAAAATATTGGGTGGGCATAAATATTTAAATAGATATTTAAGTAAATAAATACATATTTAAATGGGTACGCCATATTTAAACCAAATGCTGTTGTAAGGAAAGGTCATGGAAAATGACATTATTTAATGCAACTTCATTTGTGTTCCATTTAATTATCAGTAGATTGGTATGCAACTGGGTAGAAATGTATTCAATGAGTAATAATTAATCATAATTATCATATGAGATTTAGAGTGCTGATATAGTTTAACCCCCTCATTAATTTTTTTGCATGAGGAATTTCTACTATCCAAAGTTGTTCATTTCTGGATGATTCAGACCTGTGGGGGAATGCTAATTCTTTTAGACTTGAGGATCAGCTGTTTAAAAGTCAATGAGTCTCATTAGAAAGAATGTCTATAGAACATTACAATGAAATATTTATTCACTGCCAAGTGCATGACTGCAAACAGATTATTAGATGCACCTTTTGGGGAAAATGTATCCCTGAGAAGATAGCCCCCTCCTGAGTATTAACTGTTTCATATTATATTGTTTCTTGTGTTTACGAAGTTTCCATAAAGCCATATTCTTTCTGTTAAGATTATAGTTCTGTTTTGAATGAATGCACATGTTGGGAGGAAGAATGCCCTTTGGCCTTATCATACTCTGCAGTGTATTATTGTTTTGGTTTGGCTGCTGATGGAGAAAGCAGCAGTTGCAATAAAAAGGGTTCATATAAAGAAGCTCCTGCTGTGATTTCTTGGCACTGTATAGGAATTGATACAAGACACTATATTCCCTCGAGCAGGTACCATAATGAGCACCCGCTCAGAGAGATTAATTAGAGCTTGAGGTGGCTGTAAGGGTGGGGGAGGCCACATATAATGTGTCAGGATCACTCTGGCCTCCAGCTTCAGTGATTCGATGTGAAATAGTAGCAGCTGGCTATAAATGTACAAAGTGCAATTGGGCAGCAGGTGGTAATTCCTGCCTTGTTTGCCAGATCTTCACAGGAATATGTAAGCTGATGCAAAAAGGTCACGAGCAACCAAAGGAAGAAAAAAGAAAGAAAAGAAAAAAAGGCAGACTTCATGGCTTCTGCTGTGAGTGATAAAGCAAAGAGCCAAAGATCCGATCATATCCTACAAGGTTCACAACAGTAGCTCATAATCTGGTTCCTTTATGACACAGAGAGGTCTTCCTGTTACTTCCTTTTCTATTTTGTTTCTATGGTGCTCGAGGTAAAGGATTCTGAAAAAATGTGTTGACCATAATGCAGCAGTGTGAGCATTCATGTGGCCCCCTCCGAATGTGAGTTGTCCTTTATATGTGAAGCGTTCTCTTGCCACAAGCTTCATATGTCCATATCATTTGGGAAAGAGGAATATTTTATGACTGTGTAATGAATCTAAATGCTTGTCCACATGGTCAAAACCCCAGAAGTCACTACCAGAAGTTTATACAACATCCATGGACTTTCAGTCTTAATGTGGGGTAAACTGGGTCGAACTGATTTAACCCCATGCTAAGGAAAATCGGAGGATGCTCTGGAATTCCAGCAAAACTCCGGAGCATCCCGCACTTTGGGTAGAGTGTGGATAGCAAATAAGCTTCAATGTGAACTGGTTCGCTGTCGACACATGACGGTGCCACCATTCCTCTTTTCCTGCACTTAGCATAAGGAAAGGGAGATGGCTAGGACTGATGTCATAGCTGCTGCTGGATGGTTGCAGAGCTCCAAGAAATGTTCTGGCCATTGTGGGCACCTGGTGGTAACATTAGTGAAGTCATCTATGTGACCAGAGAGAGAAAGTGGTGACACCTCCATGCCTAATTTGGAGGTTTTCTGAAAATAACTGGCTGGTGTAGACAAACCCTATCTTGGAAGTAAGCCTAAGTGAGTTCAGAAGAATGTATTTCTCAGGTAGATGTATATATGATTACAGTATATCATGTACTCAGAGTAACAAATGCCAATACAATTTCTTTCAATCCTTCCCTCAAATAGAAGAACGTTAGGTCCTGTTTGGCCAAAGTTAATGACACTGTGTGAAAGCAAAAGATGATCAGAATACTGCTTTTAAGGAAAAAGTTGCTTAAAGAAGTTTCTTCTTCTGGAGAGAAGTTTTGATGCTAGGGTCAGTGAGCAACAAAAAAAGGCACCATCCATTAATGAGATAAATTAAATCTCAGGGTCGCTTTGTATAATATTCTGCCCTGGAGATTTTTCAGAAACAATCTTGACTATATTGTAAAGATTGATGGCCTTTGCTAAGAGGTCAGTTCTCTGGAGTTCTCTAACCCACTTCCCTCCCCTGTGCAATACTACAAAGCTACGAAGTTGGATGCAGAATGTTCCTTTCACATCTGATAACCTTTTCTGAATACAGAAGGTCATTACTATATAACAGTGAGTCAACAGGGAATATGAGGGAATATGAACCTTTGCCCTTTTCATTAAAAAAATAGGTCTATAATACACTGTAATGTTGTCACAAACTTTTTAAACTCTCCTGATTGAGCAGCAGTTAAATGTTCAGTGTTTCATTGTATATGTACTTTGTATGTTTTGTGTTGCATGAGAAAGAAAATGTTTTAAAATGTAGTGAAAAGATGTATTGTTTCACAGTTTGTTGTTGGCGTCTATGTGGCTCACTAAGCACAGCATGTTAGAGAGAACACTATCCCAACCCAAATTATGTTGGGCTACAACCTTCACCAGTCCCATCAATTCTCTATGGTCACTCATGGGAATGATAGGAATTGTATTTCAACAATGTCCGAGGACCCTAGGAAGCTGCTCTAGATGAAGATGGCTTATTTCTATTTGACTAACATACCAAATCTAATACATGTTCCTAGATGTTATTTGTGAATGTGTGTCCTTATTCCTTCTGAGAGCTCTCACAGTTTCTGCAAAAACATGTGCCATCTTCAAGAACATATCTGAGAGCAGTTTTTTTCTTTTTTAAAAAAGCCACTAAATTACATGTCTGTTATTAAGTTGTCATTCTGTGTGACATTTTGTGTCGTGTTGTTTCGGTGTGTGTATGTGCATCCCCAGGGTCTCCCAGGCTTTCCCACAGTTGCTGCCCTTCACAGTAATCAGATCCTCACCGTCAAGGTTTGTGGATGACCCGTATTAACTAGCCAGGCTTGCCATATCAGCACAGAAAGCCATGAAGAATTTGTTTGCCTCTGGGAGCTTGGTGTTAGCATTGTGTGCCTGATCATGACCAGATTTATTGCTTTAGTCCTCTCCTGTTATACTGGTACCTATGGTACTTCTTACTGTATGAGAGGTATAAGACTTACATACTGTATGGTGACATTATTAACACTGAGCAGCCATTTGTGCCCTTCATCAGAATTTCAAAAAATCATATGTCTGGAGCTCCAATTCTTATAATCTTCAAGATATAATCCAGAAAAGTAACTTTTCTTGATGAACATTTGCAATTCTGCTTGCAAATACCATAGTTTACAAAGATAGAAAAATCATTTAAGTGAATGGATGGCAAAATACTGGTGAATATATCAGTCAATGATTTTGTGCCTTTATGGTTCCACACTTGTACATTTGCTTTAAATTATTTGAGAATTAAACAGAAATAATTTAAATCATCTATAGGTTGGCAGGCTCAGCTATACCATTGAGATGACAGTATTCTTCATGGCACAATATGCTCTTTGGGATGTCTGGCTAAAAGCTGAACTGGTGCTTTGTCTCCTTGAATCTTGGCTTATGAACCAGACAAAAGTAATCAGTGTAAATTTTCCAGATACCGAGTACATTAAAACCTATAGCTACAAAAGATGTTCAAGAATAAGATTCTTTCGTTTCATAAAAGTGATTATCTAATGAATATTATAACTTAGGGCTTGGTAGCCTGTTTGACATTCTATGGATATTCTTTGTTTTTCAAAGCACAGATTCTTGTGACAGACACAAGCACCAGTTGGTGGTTATATTTGCTACTTGCAAGTCTAATGTGTAAATTTCTATTTCTTTCTCGGGCCTTCTGATGTCTATACTTCAACTCTTTCACCTCTGAACCTCAACCTTTGACCTCACCTGCCTGATCAGATGGTGTTTCCTAAAATCAATCATGGGTTTCTCTCTGCTGATCAGCAGCTCATTAAACGCCGCCTCATTAAGGTAGTGGTTAATCTCTCCCTCCACCTTTTGCCATGCTCTTGCTTGCAGCTGATTGCTGAATTCTGAACATACTTCTTAATGGTATTGATTTTTATTTTTAGGGGAAAAATGAGAAGAAACTGCATGGAACTTTGCTGTAAACTGCATAATTAATTTTATCAATTGTTCCCCACTGTTTTTTATTGGAAACTAAGCAAAACTTAGTAGTTTTGAAGGGAAGTGATTGTGATTTAACAGGTCATTACCCAAGTAGATTAAATTATTGCAAGATGGATAACATTGGTGCAATAAATGTTGATTTTCAATGTTGCTATAAAATGGTTGCTAAACAGAGATGAAATATTCTTGAAAAGTGCTGTACAGCTTTTCAGCAAGATGGTTGTACTTCAGTGTTCGCATTAGAACTTATTTTTTTGCTGAGCATTAGTTTTGTTGGCTGCCATTAAAGGTTTACCATCCTTATGTAAAGCCGATGACCCAGCCTGGCATATCAGTAAACATTTTTCTTGTAAAAACACAGCACTGGATTTTTTCAAGTTTGTTTATACTTGAACCAGTTTAAACATTTGTGTATATCCTTCAGGTATAAGAACTAATGTTTACAAACTGCAATAATTCTAACTGGCTCTCAGCATATGATTGGAACAAAAATCCTATGTAGTTTCCTTTGTTGAACTATTATTTGTTGGACTATTATATATAAAAATGCTCTGTGTGCATTGCTAGGCATTGTAGACCATACACATGTTTTGGATTCTGCTCCTGGATACAGAGCCTTGGGTGATGTCCCAGTCAAGATAGTGGCACTGTCAGTTTCCAAAGTATCTTCAAATAGCTCCATATGGAGCGCATTTTAATAATCTAAGGGAAGTAATGAAAACATGGATAACTGCTATTAGATCCATGTCTGAGATGAGAAGTCATCTACTGAGTAAGCAGTATTCCCAGCCAATATCATAATCTGTGAATTATCTCATGCCAATAATTTGAGAATGGGTGACTTAAATCCAATTCCCTCTCTCCTCCATATAGGTTATTGGTGCTATCTTGTTAAAATGTGTGATAATAATGTGCAGATAGTTCTGCATGTTGTGAAACAAGAACTTTGATTGATGAACACTTTTAGCAATTTTGTTCTTTTACAAGCTCTTCCCTTGAAAATTGTATCTCTCTCCTTCGCTCTTTTTTACTGAATATTTGTGCAACTGAAAACTTGCATGTTAAGAGCTGAAAACTGCTTAGTAATGTGGATTTTACTGACTGGTGTTCAGGGTGACCAAGGACAAGTTGGACCCCCCGGGCCTCCAGGGCCTCCAGGACCAAGGGGCCCTCCTGGGGATACTGGCAAAGATGGCCCCCGCGGAATGCCAGGTGCACCGGTAAGTGGACTATTAATGTATATTAACATTACAGACCTAGGTGAATGAAACCATGTTAGGCCCCTTCTACACTGCCATATAATCCAGATTATCAAATCAGATAATCCACATTATCTCCTTTGAACAGGATTTTATGAGTCTACACTGTCATATAAATTATTTATTATTTATTTATTTATGATATTTCTATCCTGCTTTTTTCAGTCTGAAGGTAACTCAAGGTGGCTTATAAATTGGCAGCAATTTGATGCCACAACAGTCATAAATACAATTAAAAAACATTTAGCACAACATTATAAAACTCCTTAAAAACCCATTAAAGACATATAATCACCAGTGTCTCCCTGTTAAACTCATAATTCAGTTCACAGAAGATAATCTGGATTTTATATGGCAGTGTAGAAGGGGCCTTAGTCTGTCATGGCATAGAACTGATCAACCACTGTATTTTATAAAAGTCTGTGCTAAATAAAATGTTTTCATCCTTGAGTTGTTATCTAGACTTAAAAGGTTTCCCTACAATAGGGTAAGATTATTTCCATTTTATCAATGCGGAAAATATGGAGATTATGGGAATAAGGTTTCACTGGAAGTATGTACCAAGCATTAATACCTCTTTCGAAGAATTTTGGGTAATTGTTGGTCTTTCATTTTATAAATATTCACTGTCATCACAAAAGCATTTTTGCAGATCCTTTTATTCCAGTACACTATCATGTTTCCATTTCCATTCCTCCAGTGGTCATCGCTGTTAAGATAAATAATAATATAGGGAAATAATATGCTAAATATTATAAGGCTCAAAATATTCTGTTATTACGTTTGTTTTTTAGATCTGTCCATAAATAGTATGACATTCTTTGATATCATGGTTAATGAAAATGGTTGATCTTTAAACTATGTATTTCACATAACTTATTTTCAAAACATTGCTGTCTCCTCCTCCTTTGCCCCTATGCACAGACCACAATGGTTGATTGAAATCCTAGCACCTTCTGTCTAGTATTTCCCCTGATAATCTAGTTAGAGAAAGTCTAATGAACTTCTAGATAAGATGTGCAGTGTACTCTATATAAAGACGAGAAATGTAATACCTAACAATTTGATAAGCCAAGAAAAACACAAGTGTTTATGTCATTAAGAAAAGCAGAAGACCCCCTTCTCAATGTTTGGGGAAAAGAGGATTTCAGGGGATGAGGGAGAAGCTAGTTTTCTTTTTATCATGAAAGCAGGTGAAAAGAGCTTAACCGTAATGTTCCTGGAGAGATGATAAGTTTGAACTTAACTGCAGCTGGGTCAACAAAACAAACCTCTGGCTTCACACTTCTGTGAACACACCCACATACACAACCTTCCTTGGGTATGCACCATTATACTACTGAATAATGGAATCTAGTTTTTTTTCTGAAACAAAACTGAGGAAAGGGAATAAGGACATTCATTCCATATCTGTTTATCAAGTTATTAGAATGCATATTGTTTTAAAACACTGCCATATCTGCAGCACTCCAAATCACTTTCCTATAGATGCTAGTGGCATTTTATAATACAGATGATCTTCAAGGAATTACATATTATAATATATTCTTCAATGCAACATGATAAAGAGAAATCCAGAGAGACAGGAAGGGGAGCAACTTAGGTTTTCCCGGAGAATTAGGTAACTATGAGGATGGAATGGTTTTTATTCCTGCCCAAAGGGTTTATTCACATTACAGAGTTATAGTATGAATCTTCCATTTTAATTGTGATGATTCCATCCTGCAGAATTCTGGAGTTTTTTGGATGAATAAAAATCTGGCTGAGAACTCTAAACACCATGAATAGGTTTACTCTCCATAATTTTTTCTAACACAGTACTCTTAAAAACCATAACCACACAATGATATTGATGTTGATGATATTTTGTGTTGAAAGGGTGATCCAGGAAAGCCAGGTGAACAAGGCTTGATGGTAAGTCTTGATTTTTTTTCCCAATCCGCTAATACAGCTTGCAATAATTGTTTTTCTCTTTTGGTGTGAGATACATGGCCAGAATTCTGTTTGTAGAGCTCATGGAAGCAAGAGGTGAATTGATTGAATCAATAGGAAAGGCAGCAAGGCTGTTTTGTTTCCAGATAATTAATGAAAACAAAACTTAATTTCCAGTTTCCCACAAAGATAATAGAAAAATATATTTTGCTTATATTTGTAAAGCTTTTCTGTTCATAGTGAATAGTAGGGGTGTGCGATCCATTAAAAATGGTTCAAAAGTCATTACAAAACTGAGGGGTGCTGGTGCTTCATTTCAAAATGTTTCTAAAGTATACTTAGTGAAAATGTTGTTACTATAATGAGACAAACAAAAGTTCATTACTATTTTGTCACAGTAATTGTGCATGTGCATAATTTTAAAGCTATTGGGGTGAAACTTGCCACAATAGTAGAATGCATTTGCACTGTTAACCTACCAAATTTCAGAATGTTTCACTTATCCATTGATTTTTGGTGAATTTTCAAAGTTTTGGGGAGGGATAGACCTCTCTGTCCATAATCCTGATTTGTACTTTCTAATGCTGATTCAGTCTGGCAAATGTAGTTTAGAGAAGGTCCTCTTGTATTCTTTGGCATAGGGCTCCTCCCTTCCCAAACTATTTCCCAGAGTTCTGTGCTGTTCCCAAAATGTACAACTCTCTCTTTTACCCTCTATTAATACTGAGACTGCATTAATTTCATAAAAAATGGCAAGGTACTAAAGCAGACTTGGGCTTTGCTTCCTTGCCTTGCATTGAATATGAAACTGACAGGGAGACTTCTGAGCTTTACAAAACTAAAGTGAAAAAGTATGGGGTAATTTTCAATTCTAAAATATTTGGTATGGGCCATGTAAATGCTTCTAATATGCCTTCTGGCTTATAAAACTTTAAATTTTCTTACAATTTCCAAAACTTCAAAAAAAATTTGCACAAGTCCAGTGGATAGCATTTCATTTATTAACTCTTTCAGAACTCAAAACTATATTATCTGCCTGCAACAATGTAGTGTATATTTTCAGTAATTGGTTCTAGACATACATGAGGCCCATAGAGCCTCATGTTTGTCCTTGTAGGGTTTTGTATTCTTTAGTGATTGTGTTGTTGTTAAGTAACTTGTTCTTCCATTTGGACAAGATGGGGATGTGTGACTTGGCAAATTTTAATTGCTTCCTGTTTTAAAGAGTAATCTTTAAGCACATAGGAACAAAGGCTTCTTCCTGTCTTTTGGATTAAGCCATCCCTATGGTCTGGTATTTCAGTTTTCACAGTGCCAAGCCATTACTTATTTGGAATCTCAAGCAGCTTAGATTTGAAACAGCGAATGGACATAATTATGTTTTTAATAGCAGTTACAGTTTTTCATGGGAATGTCAACTTGACAGGACGTCAGCAAAATATTGCATGAAAGCCAAACCTTTAGTGAAATGTAAACAGAATAACAAATGCTAGGTATGCAAAATTGGGGCATATCAGAGACGAAAGAAACAAGGCACTCTATTAATAGAGGCTGCCTAATTGCTCACATTGTGAGACATTCTTTCTGTGATTTCTCTCTCCTGACATCTGAATTTGTGATCTGAATTGTATATCCCATGAAAAACTAGTGAAAAAGCCTAGAGTAAACCATAGATTATTTCTCTGACATGTTGGACAAGAGCCAATTGAGACTGCCAAATTTTGACAAAATAAGACAGCCACAGTTAATACATTTGTGGTTTGTTCAGCCACATCCATTAGGAATACTTGAGCAGCTTGCAGCAGTACCCTGCTTTGTTCCTGAGAAACATGTTGATTAATATCTTATTTGTTGAAAGAATAAAAATTTTCTTCAGTAAAACAAAGTGCTAGAAAATTAAGATTTGGTCTATCACTAAATTGCATACCCGAAAATGCAGCCAGTTCTCCAAGCTTTAGGGCTCATCTACACCTACCAAATATTCCAGGGACAGTCTGGAGCAGAAATATGGAGGTGTTTAGATAGTTTGTTCCTGACCCACAGCATTGGCAGAGTCGAGTCTACACAGTCCTGCCAGACCAAAACCAATTTAACCTTATAGGGCTATCAACTTTAGCCTCCCTATGGCCATCACTGTTATCAGATAGCCACAGAACTCCGGGAGAGCTCCTGACCATTGCTGGGCACCTCTTTGTCCTTGATCATGCAGGCACCTTTGCTGGTGTCAGCAATAATTGATCAATTGATCAATTATTTAAATGCTATCCATTGTGAGCAGAAAAGTTTTACAAATATAAGGAAAAACCTCTTTCTGTTACCCTTGCTGAAGGCCACAAAAGGAGTTTTGCAGAGCCCCATGGCTGTCTGCCACAGTGATGGGGCCAACACATCCCTGAGCCATCTCCTTTTCCCTGATGGCAGCACCAGCTTATGTGGATAGCAAACTGGTTCACATACAAGCCAGTCTGCTGTCCACACTTCCCCTTCCCCCAAAGTACTGGACTGAACTGGAGTTGAAATTCCAGAGCATTCCCCAACATTCCTTAAGCCAGAAAACAAGCTTAAGGCATCAAACAATGGTTCACAACCTTTGGTTATTTTGGACTTCAACTCCAAGAAATCCCACACTAGCAGCACACTAGCTGTTAAGAATTTTGGGAGCTGTAGTCCAAAACACCTGGAAGACCAAAGGTTGAAAACCACTGGAATAAAAAATAGATTTTTTTCCAGCTTTTCCTGCTTACAGTGGGAATGATTGGGTAGGGGAAATCAGCATAGTGCTTCATCCCCAGAAAACCACATAGACTTTTGGCTCGCCATTCTATGAAATCACATTTAAGAAATACAAACCCATCTTGTATCCATTTAAACATCTGTTACACAAAATTGTAGCCCCCGATACTAAAACAAGTAATATATTGGCTGCCATTTAGCTATTTCTTTAAGTTCTCCCCTTTGGTGTAATGATAGTTAGCATTCCATTGTTCTGTCTGAGAACCTGTTGTGATGAAAGACTGGGCAGGAAAACAGTCATAAATAGATCACGGGCTTATCATTTGCAAAGGATTCATGGTTCAGAGTGCCAAACCTCCCCTACATGCATGGGAGAAATCCCTTCAAGGAGTATGGCTGCTGTTTGGCTCAATTCAATGAGCTGGAAGTTCACAGTCTACGAGAACTTGTCAGTATGAATAAATTGTAAAACGTATTTTTGAAGGAGTTTTTAATTACAATTGGCATATCCAAGCTCAGATGCTGGAGGCAGCTACTTTGTTCAGGAGTGTAGAACAATACCCTGTGTGATTCATATAATAAAAAACACGCAACAGAAGCAAGCAATCACAAATATATACAAAGTCCTGGTGATATTGCTGTAATATTATCATTCATTAAAGCATTTAATTTTAAATGACTCTATTATTTTCCAGACTGGTAAATAATTATGGATTTTAATTCTGCTATAATTATTGATGATACTCATGCATAACCAAATACTAGAAAACCACCTGTCATTTAGACAGAGCAGATTTTGGTCCGTGCCCCTGAAGTCTTCTTTACTTTGGAGTATACATAGTAAACCAACTAAGTCTGTACTATACTGTGTTATGATAGCAAAAAGAGGCAGCCTTTTCCCAATTTAGCAGCCCAGTGCAACTTTTTGCAACCAATATATGGCATGAAAAGACCTACAGTGAGAATGGGAAAAAATACTGCCTTCCATGCTGGGACTGTTATTCCTATTAGCCACCATAGTCAGTGGCAAAAAAAAAAAATCCTGAAATTTGCAGCCCCTCAATTTTTGAGGGTCTTAGCCACTAGTGACCTGAAGGAATATGAAAGGTGGGTTATATTAGGCAATCAGTTCATCCCACTTCTAGTTGAAGCAGAGGTAGGACCTATAGGAAGATTAAGTTGACTTTGGTCTATTCCTTTGGGCGATGTTATTCTTTAAGGAAATAGGTGAAATGTGAAGATTCACAAGCATCTCTTAGGCTGAATCTACACTGCCTATTTCCCAGGATCTGATCTCAGGGTATCTCATTATCCCAGATTATCTGACAGCATAGACTCATGAGTCGGAGTGAGCTCCCGACTGTCAGCCCTAGCTTCTGCCAAACTAGCAGTTCAAAAGCATGCAATGCGAGTAGGTCAATACATACCACCTTGGTGGGAAGGTAAAAGGGAGCCCCATGCAGGCAATAAGATTGGAGAGGTCTGCAAACATCAGGCTCCTCAGCATGGAAAATGGAACAAGAGCACCTCCCCATGGCCAGAGCTGCGCATCACCTCCAGATGCCAGAGATGAAAAGAGGAAGGCCTTTATCTTATCTGTATATTGTATGTTGTTGTTTATTTTGTAAAAGGCATTGAATGTTTGCCTTATATGTGTACTGTAATCTGCTCTGAGTCCCTCCGGGGAGATAGAGAGGAATATAAATAAAGTGTATTATTATTATTATTATTATTATTATTATTTATCCACTTCAAAGCAGATAATCTGGGATCAGCTCATGTGATAAAGGGCAAGGTAGATCCAGCCTTAGTGTACTTTCCTTGACCCACTTCTGCAGCTTCAAAGGCTGCAAAATATGTAATTAGTTGTGGAGACCTGAATTAAAAACCTGTTATTATTTCCCCTTTGTCTCTTTATCTATTAGCAACATCATATTGTATGTGCACTACAATAGTCATATTAGTTGGTGAAAATGGCTGCCTTCTTCCTCTCCTAATGTAATATTTTTAAAAGTTCACATTTGAGCCAATTGTTCGCCCCAACTATTGATTCAGCAACAACTTTTGAGACAACATTTATGAAAGTTCCCTTGATACAGTGAGTCTTCTGCAGTTGAGTGGAAAAAACTGAAGTTAACCCTAAATCTCTCCTTGCAGATTGCAAGTGCATGAAATCAATACTATACAGAAAATACAGGCTAGATTTAATATTGGTCAAAAAGACAGGTATCAGTGGAAGCAAAGAAGAGGTAATATCTAAATGGGAGAACACAGGATCATTCTGAAATCTTGCAGCCTATAGTTGATACTAAGGAGAGAAGAAAAGCATTCATTGTACATTTCTGACATGTGCTAAACAGCTTATTTTGGCTCAGTTCATAAAAGTTGCACAATGGGGCATTTTAATTGGGCATTTAAACTTAAATCGGATTCATTATTATGTTAATGGAATTGTTTTCTTTTCAGGGGCCTCAGGGGCCTCCAGGACAAAAGGTACAGTATAAACAATGCTGTGAAACCGATTATATGTTTTTGTGCCAAATGGCAAACTGAAGGAATGAAGGCATTAGCTAGCTACTGTATCCCACACTGAACCAGTTGGTTTTGTTTGTGAATTTTGTTTTCCCAAAATAAAGCCATGGGATACAAGATACCTCATTCTCACCCTCATCTCCTCATTCCCCATTTATAGAATATGCATGTAGTGGCAAACAAGGTATTTTTTTCAGCCCATCTGTTAACATTCAGGTTTTAAAAAACTACAGTAATGTTCTAACTTGAACACTGGTAAAATGATGAAACCAAACTTCCAAACATAGTGGGAAATGCAGATAGAATTTCAAGTGGAAAATACAGTCTTATTCAAATTGTTCTCTGCCATATGATGGGGGAAACTCCGTGAAAACATGGGAAACAAAGGATTCTAGGTGTTACTGATAAATGGTGCTTGGTGGCTAGCCAGTGTCTTCCTATTTCTAAAGTAACCTGAGAGTTAACTTCCTATGAGTGCTTCCGATATTACTTACACTCATCAGAGATGACAGCTAAAGCCTGACAGAGGCAATCCAAGGTTTATGGACTGTGGCATTAGAGCAGTCCTAAATATATCAGGAATAAAAACATTTCAAATGGATTTTTGCAAGCCACTAACTGACACCTCACCCTGCTCTCAAAACAGCAACCCAGACCAGATTGTTGTAAAAGCAATTTTTAAAAGATAAGATATTATAAGGGTGTTTCATAAAACCAAGTGTTCAGAAAAGAGCTGAAGGAAGCGGGAAAGAATAATCAGTAGCCTCACAGCCGAGAAAGCTTCAAGTCAGAGGTGAGATTGTCTTTTTTTCAAATCACCATCATTCCAAAACAAAGTAACAGACATGGGGTTTCAGTGAAATGATGTGGTTAGCAGACAGAGTCCAGACTTTAAAATTTTCTGTAATCTACTTATTTCCACTTTAAAGCTCTGTCAAGAAATGGACTAGTAGAGACTGCATTTAGCAACCCTGATATATTTTTGGTCTTTTGAAATTCTTTAGTCCTGGGAGGAAAATTGGAAGTACATATGAGAAACCTGAATACTTCTACCATGTCATTTCAAATACCCTGGGATTTACATCACATATTAGATTTAGAGTGTTTCTGTGTTACAGAGTTATAACAGCTTAATATTCTTTTGTAGGCTTCATCCTACCAAATCCTGGAATGTGCAGTGAGGCAGTCCTAAAGAGCTCTATTACTGTAGTTTAGTGGAGTTCTCTAACCGAGTACTCTGAGTACAGGCTGGGTATCTGTTATCCGAAATGCTGGGAACCAGAAATGTTTTCATTTTGGATTTTTTAAAAACTTTAGAATACCCGTATTTGCATATAAATACATGAGATATCTTGGAGATAAGTCCCAAGTCTCAATACAAAATGCAGTTACTTTCCATATAGACTGGAGGCAATTTCATACAATAAATTGAAGTAATTGTGTACATGAAACAAAGTTGGTGTACACTGAGCCATCAGAAAGCAAAGGTGTTACTATCTCAGCCAACCATGTGAGCAAGTTGGAATTCTGAAGAATTATGTATTTTAGAATTGCAGATAAGGATGCTCAACCTGTATTTGGTGTATTTTGTAGAAGACAAAACAGTTAAAATGGTATCAAGCTGTTTTAGCAGTGTAACACAGATACACTCTATGGCTTTTTGCATTATTATTATATGGATAGAATGGCAATAGCATACATGAGAATATTCAGTAAGGCCTATATTACAGTGTTGTTTCAAGTAATACACTTGAGAAAGCAACAAAGTTTTGCAAAGTAGTAAATAGTTAATGGATTTTCAGTGCTTAGAATTCTCATAATAACACCTTTGTTCTGCAGTAACATTTCCTTATTTTACTTTCATATTCTTCAAGCATCTACCACAGAGTTAAGTCTATTAATCTAGAGTACAATAGCAAAAAGTAGCTTTTATCTTATAGATGAATAATCTTACTAAAGTTTCTTAGAATATTTGTAATAAGTCCAAGCTAATGATATGTGTTATCACTGGCAACTTTTCCATCTGTTCCTTTTTTCTTTATATTAAGTAGGCCCTTTGAGCAGATGTTAAGTCACATGTGGTACAAGCTGATGAATTGTTTAGAAATGAAAAATGCAGTGATGGTTCTGATTTACTTTTTCTCTAAAGCTTACTGGCGTGCTGTTGAACATTGCATGGTTATTTTCTTCAAATTTCAAGCTGTCACCAAACATGCATGAAGGCCAACACATAAGTTACTCTGGAAAGATAGAACATCTAACTACACTTTGAAATTGTGGCACAACATTTTAAAAATTAGATCAATTTCAATGCTAGTCATATTCCTAATGTGATCCCCCCAACCCCCCAGGGATGGTGATGTAAATGAAACTCATGGAGTTACAACGGATAGCTACATTTTGATAATTATAGGTAAAACTGATGGAAATTGAAATTAGCTTCCAAATTCAACATTCCCCACAACATTGTAGTATTATGAATGCTAGAGGTGAAGGGTTACTCTTCATATTGGATACTGCTAAGTAGGGATAATAGTATTATTCAGTATATAGAATGGTTGAGAGAAATATAAACATTCAGCATATTGAATCAGATTGGTTCATAAATGCCTTTAAGAAAATCCAGGACACTCTTGATGAATACTGTCCTTAATATCTTATCCAAAGAGGAGAATTTCATCTTTTAAGTAGCAGCAGCTGTGGGCTTCCATGTCAGCTGGATGAATCTGCTCTGAGTTTTAATTTGAATGTTCAAAGAGCTGGGTCATATTTCCAAAATAGGTTTTGAACCTCCGATAACTCCTTTAAAGTTCATGCTAAATCTGGACCCAGTTCACTGCCACTCATATGGAAGCCACCAGAGATAACTGCTTATAAATGTTTTAAAAATTACTAGCATGCATCATTTTACAATGAGAGAGTATGTGAATTGTTAAGATAGAAGTAAAATCAAAAGAAATAAGAAGTAAGTCTTATTTTGCATGAGACTTCTAACTTTATAGGAAAGTTCCTCTGAAAGTTCAATGTGTTAGTGTTATAAGTTGAGTATCCCTTATCTTGAATTCTGATATCTAAAACCGATTTCTAAAATTGGAAACTGTCTTCACAGGTGGCGGAAACAATTACACCTTTCCTTTCTGATGGTTCAATGTATACTAACTTTGTACAAGCCCATGAAAACAATATTGAGCATAAAATTGCTTTCAAGTAATATGTATAATGTGTATATGAAACATACAGTAATTCTGTATTTCAGTTTGTGTCTCCTCTCTGACATTAAGTATATGCACGTTTTCCAGAATCTGGAATACAGAACACTTCTGGGGCCAAACATTTTGCATAAGGGATACTTAACATTTAGAAGTGTTGACTAATTTGGTAGTGCAATGCTATGTATGCCAGGTCAGAATTCAAGAGATTTTCTCCCTGACCACAGATTTAGCACTAAAGCCTTAAGCATTGTATTACACTGAGAGATTTCAGGATCCATTTGATACAATTTGCTGAAGTGAAATATGTGGTTCTTTGCAGGGTTCGTTTGGTGCACCTGGTGTTCCAGGAATGGATGGAAATCAGGTAAATACCATGCTATTTCTGGTCTATTTTTTGCTGAAATCCTAGGCACATCCACTCAGGCAGGATCTACACTGCAATATAACCCAATTATCAATCCATATAAGCCACATTATCTGCTTTGAACTGGATTATATGAGTTTACATTGCCATATAAACCAGTTCAAAGCAGATAATCTGGATTTTATATGGCAGTGTAGATCCAGTCTCAGATTTAAGTCCTCCTGAATTTAATGTGTTTTACTTACAGGTAAGTAAGTATGTGTAGAATGTTATTTTTGAAAATGCAATTGTTCAGAAATGATTTTGTTTTGTATTTTTTTTTTTTTAAAAAAAGCAATGAATTAGTAAATCACAAAAAATGTCTTGGCTTCTAAATTTACTGGATATCCAAATACAAATGATAACCAATTGTGGCACTAAGAAGAGCAAACACTCTGTTTACTCAATGGCGGCAACCCTATACGGTGGTCCATGTGTACAAATCCGATTGAAATGTGATGGGTTTAAAAATGCAATAGTTCTTTGGGATTTTAGTCTTTCCTGATGGCTAAGAGATTACAGAGGAATTTGGCGAGATAAGAGACACATAAAGAAAATCAACTCCATCCTTTTGAGAGAGTAAGAGAGCAAACAAATGCATTTGGCAGGAGGTGAGCTGAAGATGATGTGAAGGAAAGCCAAATGGGAAAAGAAATAATCTTGGCTTAAATCGCCAGTGAAATGTGTTCAATAGTTTAGTTTTCCCCCAGTTTCTGTAACCAAATTGTGTCACAGTTCACTATGACTGGCAGCCTGCATTCAATGCTTTACTAAAACAGCGGGGGCATTTCACATCAGCACTATAGGCTGTTGGCAAAACTGTTGACAAAGCTGGCATGAGAGCAGAAAAGTACTGTGCATCTGTTCTTTCCAGGAACATTAAGCTTTATATCATACTCTTTGTTTAAAATGCTGGGAATGCCATAACATAATGGAGTCATTGCACTTATACAATAGCAAGCCATTCTACACAGTGGTATTATTTGCCTAAATACCTAAAACATCAAGCCAAAAATGATAAAATACTATGTTGTTTAAAAGTGTGGTTAGTAACATTGACATTTATAGAACTCAGTGTGCAAATGTTGGCTATAATTAGTAAATATTTTAATAACTTGCTCTGTGTATAGTCATATACATAGCTATGATACTGAAGGACGTTAAAAACCCAAACATTGTGCTTATTGATTTACACTGAAGAAAATCCTTAACACATTGAACAGGGCTGGCCCAAGACATTTTGCTATCTGTAGTAAAGAAAAAAAATGCCATTTTTCTCCCAGTCCATGTAACTATGACGGCAGTTGAATTTTCAATAGTTTGATTCAGCATAGGCCAAAAGACCAATAGACCATAGGCCAAAAGACCATCTTTGTCATAGGACTTCGTTTGACATATCAGGATTACCCCTGAGATTTCAGAGCCACAACCTAGTATATTGAGATAACCCTTAGTGATGTCACAAAAGGTGAACCCTAGTGATGTCATTACACATAATATCCTAAACATCAAAGACTTAAGTATTTAGGCAATCCCTTGTTGTCCGAGTAAGACTGTCTTCCAAGTTCTGTGTCCTGTGGTGGGTACATAGGTGACTGTGGAGCCCTATTCTTGACCCATATGTTTTCCAGCAGTGAGGGCATCGGTTTCCAGGTGGAAGGTGGTCCCGGTCAGGGTTAGCTTGATGCACCTTCCTTTTGGCACATTTCTTTCTTTTACCCTCCATTCACGCCTCTTCAAATTCTACAGCACTGCTAGTCACAGCTGACTTCCAGCTAGAGCACTCAAGAGGCACAGCTTCCCAGTTCTCAGTGTCTATACCAGAGTTTTAAAGGTTGGCTTTGAGCCTATCTTTAAATCTCTTTTCCTGTCCTCCAACATTGTATTTTCCGTTTTTGAGTTTGGAGTAAAGCAACAGGAGACAGTGATACTACACCAACCACTGGAGAAAATATATACAGTAGTGTCTCTTATCTAAAGGAGAAATATTCCACCCATTGTTGTTTTCACCATTATTTATATTTCATTTTTGTTCCTATATTTTCATAGTGGAATATTCATATCTAGAGTCTCATCAGATCTGGAACAGATGTTGGCATTCTACATTTTAAGATGATTGTTGGAATACATTAATACAAGTGGTATAACAACTCTGGAACTCTTTCTTGTTCCTTTAGTTTACCTAGCACAGTGGTTTCCAACTTGTGGGTCCCCGGATGTTTTGTCCTTCAACTCCCAGAAATCTTAACAGCCGGTAAACTGGCTGGGATTTCTGGGAGTTGTAAGTCAAAACATCTGGGGACCCACAGGTTGAGAACCACTGACCTAGCATTATAGTACAAAGGGACTTAGTAGCATCTGAAAAGGTTCTAGTTGTGGACTAAACCATTTTTCAACTCTATAAACACTGTGATTCACTACAGGGTGCTTGGAGTAGTACTTCCTGTTTGTCATATGCCACTCCATTGTATTGGCTAATCTAAGGAAAGGGGAGATTAATGAGTAGGTTATTTGATCATATTTTGTCTGAGACCTTCAGAAACACCATAGCTGAACTCCAACTGTCTCAGTGATTACTATAAATCAATGCTGAGTGAGAGTTATAAAAACATGATTTCAGGTACCCTTTCCATTGAGGTCTACATTTTATTACTATGTTCTCAAAAGCACAGACACAAGCTTGTTTTAGAAAAAAGATGTCACAAAACCTCTACCTCTACATGATAAATAACCACAAGTGGACTGTTCACATGCTAGAAGATTACAGCTAAAGGACCAGGACCATAAGGTAGACTGATGCAAAAGAGTTAATAAGAACACAGGTGTTCTTTTCTACACATAATTCTTCAGTGTCTGGCAGCAGCCCAGCATTTCTAGTCTAAATTTTGCTGCCAGAAGGTTAATCCTTCAGATAGGATGGGAAGCCAAAGTTCTGCCAGTTTTGTGAGATGTAGAGTATTGTTATGCAAGACATGATGTCAAATGAAGCTGGAACAACTTTAGTGCCTGTCTTAATTCTTCTATTGTCCATTGCAGACGTCTGCAGTCTCAGACTTGAGTAAGGGCCTATTGAGAAATCAATGTTTCCCCTTTCAAAAAAACACTCTCAACTAAAGTTGAAGGCTGCTATGGGATGCCTGCTAGTCTTTCTGGTACTATCCATACAGATTTTCTGATATTTAGTGTAAATGGGAATAGAAGGCCCTTAAGAAGACACACATAAGATTAAATACATATCATTCTGATGCTTGTGCATCATCTGAATTACTTCTAACTTTCTGAGAAAGTTTAGAAGCAGACTAGAGTGTTTCTTGAGTTGAGGAATTCTCATTAATAAAGAACAAAGTTTTGAAAAGTTACTTTCCTGAATTGGAAACCTCCCCTCTTTGCAAAGCTATCAGTGCAGGCTCTGGGCTGGATCTAAACCAATGCACTTAAGTGTCATTGAAATTAATGTCAAAAATGTGCCATTATTAACAGGCCCTACTGATTTAAATGGAAAGTCCAGTCTCTCTTTCTTATTATTACAATCCGCTGTATCCAACCCCATGACTTCAGACTTGTTATAATTTCCATAATTGAGTTTTCCTGCAACAAATTGATTAAACACAAAGTATTTCAATTATTTTTAAAGGCATCGGCACATGCACATCTATGTGCCTTAGATGTATCATCTTTTTCTGGGTTGATTTCTTAGTGTCAGTCCAGCAAAGTAGATTTTACTTCAACGTTATTTATTACACTTGACTCATTCTTACCTCTCTTTCCCTCCCTTTTCGAGTAGGATTTTCTCCCTTTCCTCCCCCTTTTTTTCTTTTAAGGACCTAGCTTTAGTCTTATATATAAATCAAAGTGCTTATACTTGCCATTTATTAAAAGTCAAAATCAAAAAGATTGAACATCGCTGCATATAGTTCACAAATTCTCAGGCAGGTTTTGTGAGCCATCAGAGTATTGTTGAAAAGACTTCTTGCTTACTTTCACTTGGTGAGTGGGCCAGAAGGGATTTCCAGCCTTAAAACAAATAATTTAAAATCTCAGGCAGGTGGGAAAGAGAGAGTTGAAAAGAGGTAATCCAACACCAACTTGAAATGAAATTGGGGCTGGAGTGAACAAAGGGCACATCTAAAGAAACATTTTTGTTCTCCCTGTGTTGCTTATACAGTTTAGAGTAAAACAAGTGTGATTAGACTATGGGGATAAGTGGGATGGTGTGAGGCAGCATTTTATTTTGGTAGTCTAGATTTTATGTTCTACTGCTATATTTCTCAAACTTTAAACTTCCTTGGTGGGGGGTTGGACTGGATGGCCCATGCAGACAAGCTCGTAGCCAGAAAAAAGGTTTGGCTTCTTACTGCCTGGAGGAATCCTTTGTTGGGAGGTGATTGCCTGGCCTGATAGTTTCTTTTCTGGAATTCCTCTGTTTTTGAGTGTTGCTCTTTATTTACTGTTCTGATTTTAGAGTTTTTTAAATACTGGTGGCCAGATTTTGAAACTGCTAGGCGATTAAATGCTAATCGAGGTGGCCAACTGAAACATTCACACCTACCTCAAGCAGACAAGTTCTTTTTCCCACCTTGGACATTCCACAAATATATAAACCCCATTTTCCTAGTTTCCAACAAACCTCACAATCTCTGAGGATGCCTGCCATAGATGCAGGCGAAACGTCAGGAGAAATTGCCTCTAGAACATGGCCCGAAAAAACTCACAACAGCCCAGTGATTACAGCCATGAAAGCCATCAACAATACACAAATATTTATTTTCCTCACTTAGGCTTAAACTTGCCCTGTACTCGCTCATGTGTGTTTATACAGCATATTTGGAGAGACATTGTAACTGAGTATGTTTATGTCATTAAGGATGTTATGGAAACTTTGTTTGGCTGTAAGACCTTTTGCCTTATGTATATTTCAGAAGGGAAAACCCATGAATGAGATTGGAAATGGGGTCATTTGTTGTCTCACCCAGACACCTGGTGGAACAATTTGATTCTCTGTTTCAAGGTGTGGAGCTGATCACAAGATAGCCTCACAAATTTGTGGTGGACAAGCTTGCTCATGCCTGCTGTTCAAAATCAAAGAAACATTCTGTATGTCCTGTTAAAAGGAGAAGCGATACACAATATCATAGACAAGATGTTAGAAAAAGTCATTATAGAAGGAGTACATGAAAACAATAATTGAGTGTCAGACATGATACTTGAGCCAAAAAAGATGGTAGTGGCCCATGAGTTATATCAATGAGCTCTGCAGACCAAACAAGTTCTGTGTGCCAATATGGACTCCGACATGGAACACTTCATCAGGAACTTCACTGCTTTGTATTCAATTCCAACACTGATGTGATAATCATCCATTACATCCTCTTCTGTTATCATGCTGTGCTTGAATCTTACTAGGCATTGATAGTGGGACATATACTCAAAACATAGAATCATAGAATTGGAAGAGAACATGGGCCATCCAGTCCAATCCTCTGCCATGCAGGAAAAGCACAATCAAAGTACACATGACAGATGGCCATCCAGCATCTGTTTAAAAGCCTCAAAGAAGGTGCTTTCATTGCACTCCGAGACAGAAAGTTCCACTGCTGAACAGATCTTACAGTCAGAAAGTTCTTCCTAATATTCAGGTGGAATCTCATTTTCTGTCATTTGAATCCAGAACAGTTGGGATCTCCAACAGTTATACATTCACCACTCCATTGATTTGCTTTGTCCTCCTCACATAGCTTGTATAAACTATGCCGAGCTGGAATAGAGAAGATATATGTTCATCTGAATGTAGATGGGTATGTTTTCTCTTGCGACAAGCATGAAGCATAAGGCAAGGATATTTTTATTTGTAAATGTAAAACTTCAGAGTTGGGGAGTGCTCTTAAAGAAAACACAATACTATAAGGGTTATGCAAAGAAAAGTGGTCAAAACATATTCAAATACAGGGTTTAAAGGCTTACAAGTTACACATCTTTGCAAATATAATTGCTCCATGGATTTGTTTTCAGGGCAATATGATATTGGCAGTTTTTCTAATTATGCCCAGCACGGTATTTCCCTTTTTACACAAGTCAAATACTGGGTCAGCATTTCCATCCAGCTATCTACTACAAGCCCAAAATCATATTTCTTGACCAATTGCTGCCAACTCAGATCCCATATGTAAAATTAGGACCGTTTTGCCTAATAAATGTCAATTTATGGTGCTTTTCACAAAGAAACACCGCCAAGGTCATTTATTATGTCTGTTTTACAAACTTAATGTGAGAAAATGTGCTGGCAAGCACTTAGAATCTTCCAAGCTCTCGTATAATTTGTATGCAGCCAGGGAGTATATTTTGTTATATGCTCATTCTTTATCTAAAACCCAGCAGTGAAAAGATTCAGATGTATATCTTGCTTGCTTTCTGCATTTCTAATTCTATCCAAGAAGTAATAACTTGGAGGAGATATACTGTGGGATAAAAATAACGAGGGTTTTTGTGGCATCATTAAGACTTATAGACTCTCGTTTCTTCCTCTTTTTTATTTTGCTACAGCTATAAAAGACTAATATGTGTATTTATGTGGAATATAGGGTTTCAACCCTCCTATTTGGTTAGACTTTGTATCTCCTGGTCATCATAGAACTGGAAAAAACCTCAAAAAAGTAGGTTGTACTGTGAAGGTAACAGGTATTCCCTAGCAGTTTGACTAATCTCTGTATGCTTTTGAGAACAATATGTGCAGAAACCCTGCTAGGTTACCTCCACTTCCACCACTGTAGCTGGAGACCTATATATTATGATATATATTCCACTAAAATCAGAAATTTCACTTAATCATTTGTACTGTCAGTTTAATACTGGTAATATGAAATCTGTTAACTGCATTACTAATCATTTTCTTGCAGTTATCCTCTATATTAACTTGGTCATTCCCATGTTCATTATACACCTTTCCACAAAAGGTTGATGTTAAGTTACAAATAAAATCTATGGAGATTTCTAATTCCAATTTGTGGCTTATTGCTTATTGTGGTTGCTTTTTAAACAATTTGTCACTTATCCATAGATTCTGTTGATGTGGTTGATATCACTTTTCCCATATGTCATTTTAGGGAGAACCCGGTGAAATTGGAAAAGGAGGACCACCAGGGCTTAAGGTTAGTAGAGAAAAACCAGCTTTCTTTTCTCCCTCCCTCCCTTCCTCCTCTCTTTCTTTTTTGTTAGTAGAGACAGTGCTGTTTTCCTTCCTCATTTGTTTCAGTGGTGTTGGTGATAATAGTTGTTGTTTCGTGCCATCAAGTGATATCCGACCTATGGTGATGCCAAAGCCAACCTGTCACAGTGTTTTCTTGGCAAGACATGTTCAGAAGAGGTTTGCTATTGTATTCCTATGAACTGAGAGAGTGTGACTGCCTATGTGGGTTTCCATGGCAGAGCAAGAATTCAAACTCTCCTACTGGTAGTACATAGCTTCTGTTAGATTTACTAGCCTTTCTGTACCTTCTCTGATTGTATCATGTTAGTGTTTCACAGCATACCTATCTGTCTCCCAGCAGAATTTTTACAACATGTTGATCAGGTTAGAGGCTTTTTATTTGCTGATCAGAAAAAAATTACCTCTGGAGAAAAATCATGTCTCATTTTTAGAATTCCATTGATCACACATTATGCTTAATTAGTTTCCACAGAGATATATTTCAGAATTGCAGAGCAATGAAATAGAATTTGAATGAAGCAGAGGAGTGAAACCTGCTCATAGGCAGAGCAGTCAGGGTCAGAGAAATGAATGGAAGCTTGCAACACACTAGCTTGTAAAACAGTGAATAATTTACAAAACTGGAAATGAGAAGTCATTTTGTATAATTTCTGATGTTATATCAATTTCTGATAGAATCTGAAAACTTGAAGGATGTAGGGATCTGCTCACTTTTATTTATCATATCAGGAGCAAACTACAGTTGTATTTTTTTTAAAAAAAACCCACAAAGTTTGCAAACTTGGCATTCTATTAATTGTCCTTTGACCAGTAGCTGGCCACTTGGAGTGCCTCTGGTGTTGCTATAAGAAGGTCCTCCATTGTGCAAGTGGCAGGGCTCAGGTTGCATTGGAATAGGTGATCTGTGTTTTGCTCACATGTCGTGGACTCCACTTTGTAGACCCATTTCTTAAGATTGGCTCTGCATCTTGTGGTGCCAGAATGCAGTCTGTTCAACATCTTCCAAGTCACCCAGTTTTCTGTGTGCCCAGGAGAGATTTTGCTTACTGAAATGTATGCATTCCCACTTACAGTTTGTTTTTGGTTTTTTGAGTGAAAGAACTCTATAGAAATTCTAGTAAAGGATGCATAAGTTGCATTTCAGTTTTGGGAGTTGTTGTTACAAGAAAGAAGGTGAGTAACTTGCATATATACTATAGAATTGACATTGGACAAATGGGAAACTGGCAGTAGGTATGTGGAAACAGACTTTGAAATATTTAAAACTGCATATGAAATGTTATACTGGAAAGGGGAATCCAGTATCAGCTTTGAAATCAACTGGAAAAAAAAGATTTCTAATAGACTTTGTGGACTGGAGTCCACGTCATCAGTTGCAACCCATGAAAGCTTATGCTAAAAATTTCTTTTTCCTGGTCAATCTTAAATGTGGGATTCTTTTATATATTTTAATGCTAAAGCAGACTAACACAGCAGTTTCACTGAAAACTAGTAGTATGGATGGGGAAAATGCTGCCCTCAGACCCCTTTTGCAGACCTCACAGCTGCCTGCCGGCCCAATGTTTTTAAGTGAAAATGCCCTGTTGGCTAAAACACCACGAAAATGTGACAGCTTGCCTTTGAACATCTCCCTAATTCATTATATCCCCCTTAAAATTCAAAAACTGACTAGACTGACTGCAGGTGGATTTCAATCAATTTTGTATGGTCTTTTGATAATTTTTTTACCCAAAAACGTGTTGGCCTGCAGTACTTCTGTATTACACTTATGCAGACTTGCACTAACCACCACTTTTGAAAGTTAGAGCTTCATGTTACTGACACATTTATGAAATTATTATTAATAATAATAATTTCAAATTATTAACTTTACTATAAGTCTACACAGCTGCACAGATGTCCCTGTTTGGAAGCATTTATGATCTATCATTTTTCTGTTTTTGTTTCTGTTAGGGTGATCCTGGACAGCAAGGAGAAAAGGTAAGTCCAACACCTGTTTTAAAAACTCATATGAAGACCTTTAAAATTAATTAAGGTTAAAATACTGCTATGAAGTTGAAAAATCATAAGCTGAATTTTGCAAAATGTATAGACCTTTTGCTACAGGAATAAGCAAAGAAATGTCATAATCCAATGTTAAAGTTCATAATGAAGAAAAGGAAAATAATTCACCTTCAGGCTGTAATTTGTCTTATAAATCTTAATTACATTAATTTCATGCAATTAAAAAAAAGTTAAAATTCATTGTGGGACTCAAGGTCAACATTCTCTGAAGAGTTGTTTCTTCCAGATATGTCTGACTACAGTTCTTAACATTTTTCAATTACTAACTGGATAAAAGATTGTGGTGATTGTACATCTGAAGGACACCAGGTTGGAGAAGATCATGACTATGATCACAAAGGCCTGGCGAAGCATCCTGCTTTGCCTGGCTTTACTGGAAAAAAGGAGGAGCAACGGGGTGAATCCATTGCCCCGCACACAGCTCCCTCTCATCAATGCTTCCCCATCACATGTGGGGAGCATCACCTGAACACCAAGGCACAACAAGTGTAAAAAGGAAGCGTCATACAACATTTCCACTCCACTTGTGGGTGGGACCTCCACAGGAAGTCTAGCAATGTCATGGGATGGGCAGCTTGCATATGTATTTTTATCTGTGTTTTGTTTATATATTTTGTTGTATGCCTTGAGCTTGGTATCCAAAGTAAGCCACCCCGAGTCCCTTTGGAGAGATGGTGGTGGGGTGTTAAGATAAAACTGCTGTTGTTGATGATGATGATGTTATTATTATTATTATTATCTGTCACTGGACTGCTGGTGAAGCCCCCTGCGACTCTTAAAAAACTCCATATGATGAGGTCATATATGATTTTCTATGGGCCCATGAGTTCAGTAAGGCATCAACTTAGGTGTCTTTTTTTTTACTTTCTCAATCTGTTTCAAAAATGCTGTGGGGTATCACTCTCCATTATGATGAATGTATGAATATAAAGAATCTGAACACCTATTTATTTATTTATCCTAAATAGCAGGTGGTAATATTACACATTTTATTTTTGGAATTGGTATCTAGTAAGGGAAAATGGGGAGAGTGTTATCAAGTGAAAGGTGAGATTGGAAGGCAGAGTGGTATAGTGGTTTAAGTGACAGACCCAGACCTCTGATATGAATCCTTGCTCAGCCATTAAAATGAACTGGGTAATCTGGGCAAGTCATCTTCTTTTAGCCCAAGAGCAGAGCAAAGTCAAACCTCATCTGAACAAAGTTTACTAAGAAAAGCTTGGGATAAAAATTTATTTAGAGAGTTCTTGCCATTGTTTTTATCTGAGGCTAAGACTATCCTATGGCCAACCAGTAAGTTCCTATAACTGAGTGGAGATTTGAACCTTAGATTTACAGAATCCTAGGCCAATACTCAAACCATTACAACATGCTTGATTAGAACTATAAAAAACAGCTGTAAAATAAATATACATACTTCATAGGAGGCTGCTAGTGAATGAAAAAGCACTCTAAATGTTTGTTACTCATTTTAATTTGTAGGGTGATGCTGGAGATAGTGGACCCAAAGGTGAAGCAGGAGAAAAGGTATGCTTTGTACTGAATTCTGAAATTGTATTATTGACAGTGATGTTGTTATTGTTGTTTGTGATATTGTCTATATTGTAATTTGTTTTTATATGTTGTACACCGCCGTGAGTCGCCCTAGGGCTGAGAACGGCGGTCTACAAGTGCATTAAATAAATAAATAAATAAATAAATAAATTGTTGTTGTTGTTGTTGTTTGACTCCAAGTCATATCCAACTTATGCCAACGTTAAGGTAAATGTATCATGAAGCTTTCTAGACAAGATTTATTCAGAGGGGTTTGCCTTAGCCTTCCTTTGAGTCTGAGAGAATTTGAGTTTCTCAAGGGCAGCCAATGGGTTTCCATGGCTGGGTGGGGATCCTGGTCTCCAGAGTCATAGTTCAACTGATACTTTTGTACTACTACCCTGATCTATCTATCTATCTATCTATCTATCTATCTATCTATCTATCTATCTATCTATCTCCACATTCATAGAGAAATAAGAAACCGGAAATTAGAGTAAACTACTGACTATGAAATTGAATTGTCCTGAATCCTGAAAGTCTCCAGAGTGGCTTGGAGTTATTCAAAATATTTAATCAACTGTATGGCAGCATATATATTGCTGTCATGACAACATAGTCTCCAGTATTTGTTTGTTAGAATAAAAGGAGATAATGATGTGTATTTTCAACCCCCGCAAATACCCAAATCCCTTGTGTGACATTAGAAAAGAACTCCAACCTATAAATAAATTATAAATAAATATAATACCATTGTTTTTCACAGCTGCTCCTCTGCACATCAATAAGCTTCTTTATTTCTGTGTTCGATAATAGCAGAGCAATTTACCGTATGTGTTGTTCTCTCAGCTCCAAGGCTATAGCTAATTTGAGATTTGCACTCAAATGAATGCTGTGGATAAGTTGTGCTTTTTCAATCTCTCTCTTTGATTATATAAAGTTCCTTTTCATTAACTGGATATTTTTTAAAAAGTCTTTGTGGTGTTTACAGAACAAGGTTTGAGAGCATTCTATTTGCAAGAAATGCTAGATACACTGCTAATGAATTTGTGCTCCACCAGTGAGAATAACCCTTTTTCTTTTCCTATTCAGTGAACACAACATCCCTATCATTAAATCTCATTACATTTATATTGTCAAGTTAAATTTCATGATAAGCAAAAAAAATCACAACAGATTATAATCTGGGGTACATAGATGATAATGGGAGTTGTGCAAACTGAACTTCATTCATGTAGATAAGTTTTTGACCCAGAAATCCACATTCTTACCATGAGGAATGTTCTTATTTAAGGAAATGTTTGTTATATTAGATATCAAATCTTATTCTGGAACAGATAAAAATACATGAATATAGTCATAGTTGTTTTCTGCAATCGTTAGGTCTTCAGTTCCTTCTCATATATGATTATTATTTCTGGAATTTTTTATTTTATTATGTAGGGTGACCCTGGATCTTCTGCTGCAGGAATTAAGGTAAAATTTGCAGTAGAATCGGTACTAAGTAATATTTAAACTGCATTTTATTATTTTTCTGTACTTTGAAATTTATCTTCAAACCTGATTTTCTGATTATGTATTTGTTCACTTTTTTCTAGGGAGAACCTGGAGAATCAGGGCGACCAGGACAAAAGGTAAGACTTCAAAGTAATGAATGCAGATGCCGATAGGAATTTTGAAAATGAATGACTAATGCTGTGAAATATCTCCTTTTAAAACTTATTAAAACAATGAAATTTTATGGAACTGCTATGAGTGTCTATATTGGGAGAAAGGCAGGATAAAAGATAAGTAAGCAAATAAATATCTGACAATCTGGTTACTTCTAAAAGAGACCTACCTTAGTCTGGGAAAGGTTGAATGGAATTGTTGACTCTTTTGCTTTTGAGCAGCAGTAAATAACCCATAGCCATGAATTTTTGATGAGATGATAGAGTAATGCCTGATGCCCCAGTAATAAAATAATTCAGTGTAAAGTGCACAATCACTAGGACCTTTCCCAGCACAAGCTCCCTTCCAATAATAATTAAAAAGGAAAAAAAATAGCATCTTGTGCTTTTATTGAGTGCCTTATGGAATGTGTTTACCAGTTCTGTTTAATCTCATCTGAATTCATGGGTTAAAGGTCCATAGGATTTGAAAAGAAACAAAATGTTGCTCAAATAATATTGAAGATATTTTTTAAATGTTGTCAAGAAATTGAATCATTTTCCTTAATAATGCTGTTCTTTCTTGTTTTATCTAGACTGTTAGAGTTCTGCTGTGCAAAAAATGTAGCATGCGTTTTTTTCCCATCAATAGTTTGAGTGGTGCTCAGCACTTTCAAAACTTCATTGCAGACGAAACTCCAGACATAGAGAAAACTGTCACAGACTGAGCTCCTGGTATATCTCTGCCTCAGAGCAATTAAAATCTCCACTTCAGACTTCTGAATAGCAGAGAGTCAAGACTATCAATTAGAATTAACTGATGGCTTTGTGATGGTATCCAACATATCCCAAGACTCGCTCTGACTGCCTGACACCACCAAATTCATTTCTTTTATGATGTACCATAAATGATGTATGAACTGAAAGCAAAAGTAAATTTATGTACCGTGCCACTAGCTTCTTCATTTTCAGTGTGCTCAATCATAGATATATAACTTGGAAATTGAGAGGCTCAATAGATGTTGTTGGGCAAAAAATCTTGCACAGTTATAGTTCATACACTGATATTCTGCAGTGTCTGACCCATTCCTTTCGGGGGTGCTTGACTTGGTCTTTTTATTGCCATCTGGAAACATTTTTCTGCCTGAAGTGGTAACCAAACAAGTCCCCCTATAGTCAACAGAAGCTGTGAAATAGCAGCGTTTACTCGACTGATTCCATGAACTCCATTAGATCAAAATCTATTTTCCTAAGTTTTCACTTCAGTCATCCCCCTCCCCCATTTGTAACAACTGTGAATAGGAACCCCCCCCCCCCCCAGACCTTCTCTCATCTTCAGAGTGAGAAGGACAAATCTCAGGGCATGAATATTGCCTTAAAGAATTTTATATGTACATTTTCTACAGAAGTAGACTTGTTATTTTCTTGCTTAAATAGCATCCACAGTTCAACTGTGGTCAAAGCTTAATGTATAATGCAGAACTGATTACCAGGTTTATGTTTTAAATGGACAATCACTTTGAGTTTACCATATGTGTAATTTTGATCTAAATTCCCATATAGCTATTTTACTGAGTCTGGAACCTAGATTAATATTCTTTTGTGATGTTATGTCATTTCATTTATAGGGTGAACCTGGACTACCTGGACTACCAGGATTGCCTGGAATTAAGGTAACTATATAGATATACTGCTGTAAAATAAAATGAGAATAGTGTTATAAACTAATGAAACTGAAGACTTTAAAATACCCTTAATTCCTTTTCCTTTTAAAAGTAAGATTGTCACACACTACACTATCCATACATGAATGGTTGGATGGATGTGAAGTCATTCCTTAAAAATATTACAAGCACTTTCATTTGTGTAGCATAAAGCAAGCCTGTGAAAAGGTTGTTAAAATTGTCAATATTCAAAATATTCAGTGAACCAGACTGGATATTTTGCTGAATTCTAAATTTTTGCCCTTCAATCTTCATTTCACTCTGGGCATTTCTTTTTCTTAATTGAAAAGAAATAGACAAAATTCACAATATAGGATGCATGAAGAACAATACAACATAAATGACATAATCTAAAAAAAAATAGCCGGTTTACTAGCTTTAGATATGTTTAGAGCATTTGATAGTGTACTTTGGCCCACTTTCAAAATGATCTTGGAAAAATTTGGATTCAGAGAAAGATTTTAGAGTTTAATTGACAAGCTGTATTAAAAAAACTTATGTATCAGTAATCGTGAACAATGGACTAAGGGGGAAAATAAGCAGAACCCAATGTACAAGGCAGGGATGCCCCCTTTTCCCAATTTTGTTTGCTATAGGGATGGAAATATTTGCTAACATAATTAGGGAAGAGGTTAATATTAAAGGAATAGGAACTAAGTAAAAATATAGAATAAATTTACTTGCAGATGATACTCTTCTAACGATTAAAAACCCAATACAATAATGGAGGTGGGGGGGGGAGAGAAGTCCATTTAACAGACTTTGGAAGAATAACAAGGTTACAAGTTAACTGGAACAAGTCAGAAATGTTATTATTCAACTATCAGGAAGAAGATGGAAAAATTAAAGCAGGAGGGAAAAATAAAATTTGGAGAAACAATTAAATATCTAGGAATAAACATATCAAAAGAACTAGAGAATTTAGAGATAAACAATCTTACTAAATTAGGAAAAGAAATAAACATGAAACTAACCTAAATTAAATTTCTTATTCAGAATGTTACCTATAAATAATTCAGATCAAGAATGTAAAAGATGGAAAAATATACTATTTTTATTGTATTGGAAATAAAAAAGCCAGAATAAATAAAAGCAATATTCTATCCTCACAAGAAATGAAGGAATTAATTTCCAACCTATTAATGGCAGCGAGACTGATAGCTGCAAAAAATGGAATTATAAAAGTGAAATTTCGTTGGAAGAATAGTATAGAGAAGTTTGGAGCATAGTGATTAATGACAGACAGACTTGTGACATTAAAGTTAAAAGGGGAATATGGAAACAAGTGAACTTTTGGAAAATCTGGGGGAAGTTTATAGGTTGTTGTAGGTTTTTCGGGCTGTATGGCCATGTTCTAGAAGCATTCTCTCCTGATGTTTTGCCTGCATCTATGGCAGGCACTCTCAGAGGTTGTGAGACCTGTTGGAAACTAGGAAAATTGGGTTTATATATCTGTGGAAAGTCCAGGGTGGGAGAAAGAACTCTTTGTCTGTTGGAGCTAGGTGTGAATGTCTTAATTGGCCACCTTGATTAGCATTTAATGGCCTGACAGTTTTTAGATGTGTCTTGTTCTGGCCTGGGGGAATTTGTTGTTTCCAACAGACCTCACAACCCCTCTGAGGATGCCTGCCATAGATGCAGGTGAAATGTCAGGAGAGAATGCTTCTAGAACATAGCCATACAGCCCGAAAAACCTACAACAACTCAGTGATTCTGGCCATGAAAGCCTTCGACAATACATTGAAGTTTATAGGATTTGTATTTATAGAAGGACAGGGAGACAAACCTACAACAGAAACAATGAAATTTTGGAAAGAAATAGTAAGATAAGATGGTCCAGAGAAAGGGAGCACAAGAAAGGAAAAAAATATAAAGGGGTCAAAATAAAATAAAATGACATAATTAATTTTATAAATCTCATGAATAAATCTTGGCTCTCTGAATAAGGTTGATATTCTTTGTCACTTCTCTGCTCACCAGCTACATTTAGTGTGCTTATGTTGACTCTGATGCTATGTAATTTTTATATGTGCTATGTAATTTCAGTCAGAAGCCCAGAGCATAGATCCAAGTGTTAGTTTAAGTAGACCCATTAAATCAGTTAAACTTACTGTATATACTCAAGTATAAGCCTAGTTTTTCAGCCCCTTCTTTAGGATAAAAAAGCTCCCCTTGGCTTATACTCGAGTCAAGGTTATTATTTTATTCTCTTATTAGTATTATTTTTATTACATGTATTATTTCTCTCTATTTATTACTATTTTATTGCATTTATTATTTTACTCTATTTATTATTATTATTATTAGTATTAGTATTACATTTATTATTTTACTCTCTGTATTATTATTGGAAGGATACATAAGCACATTTACATTGAAGAAGGTTAGAATAATGGTTTAATCAAAGTTGGACAGTCTTGTTTTAAATTTCAGTTTTATGTAAATATTCAAAAACATTTAACCTACTGATGCCTCAATTAATGTAATTTTATTGAGATCTATTTTTATTTTGAAATTTAACAGTAGCTGCTGCATTTTCCACCCTCAGCTTATACTCAAGTCAATATGTTTTCCCAGTTTTTTGTGGCTTATAATCAGGTCAGTTTATACTCGAGTATATATGGTAAATAAGTCTGACTTATCACAGATTTGATGGGTTTAAGATATTTGGGGTAACAAATTGATTGAAACTCATATCAAAAAGGAGGCAGTATACTGAAGCAGAGCATGAGGGTAAATAATATAATGCTGGACCTTATTTGAAACAAAAATGCCTTAGTCATTTCTTATGTACAGGTCTTGATATTTGTTTGACACAATTGACTGAGTGATTTCAGTGGACTTTCAAAGCATTATGTATGTGACATTGAGAAATTGGCATTAATTGAGTGTATTATTACGAGCTATCAGAGCATTGAAGGAATCCCATTGGAGCATTGCAGCACACCCAAATATCTGGGAGTCACTCTGGACCATTCCCTGACCTACAAGATGCACTGCCTGAATATCAAGCAAAAAGTGGGCGCTAGAAATAATATCATATGAAAACTGACAGGCACAACCTGTGGATCACAACCAGACACAGTGAAGATATCTGCCCTTGCGCTATGCTACTCTGCTGCTGAGTATGCATGCCCAGTGTGGAACACATCTCACCATGCTAAAACAGTGGATGTGGCTCTTAATGAGACATGGTGCATTTTCACAGGTGTCTGCGCCCTACACCACTGGAGAAATTATACTGTTTAGTGGGTATTGCACCATCTGACATCCGTCAGGAAGTAGCAACCAATAGTGAAAGGATCAAGGCAGTGACATCTCCAGCCCATCCCGTTTGGGTATCAGCCAGCACGTCAATGACTTAAAGCAAGAAATAGTTTTCTAAGCTCTACAGAGACACTCGCTGGAACACCTCAGCAAGCGAGAGTCCAAAAGTGGCAGGCTCAAACCCAGAACCTCAATCAATGGCTGATACCAAATGAGAGACTCCCCCTGGGCACACAGAAAACTGGGTGACTTGGAAGGCGCTGAACAGACTGCTCTGGCACCACGAGATGCAGAGCCAACCTTAAGAAATGGGGCTACAAAATGGAATCCACGACATGCGAGTGTGGAGAAGAGCAAACCACAGACCACCTGCTGCAATGCAACCTGAGCCCTGCCACATGCACAATGGAGGACCTCCTTGCAGCAACACCAGAGGCACTCCAAGTGGCCAGATACTGGTCAAAGGACATTTAATCAACTACTAAGCTCGCAAACTTTGTGTTTTGTTTGTTTGCCTGTTTGTTAAAAAATGCAATGCAACTGTTTGGTCTGCTCCTGACACAATAAATAAAATAGAGCATTGAAATTAATTGCCTTAAATAAGAATGCAGGCTGCTTTTGCTAAACAAAATGTGCATGCAAGTATGGATTATATCCAAGCAACTCTTTACAATAAAGGTTTCTTTCTAAAGGATACATGCCATACTTACACATACACACCTTTCTGTGAGACACATGCACATTTTGCCAATCACTAGCAACTCTTTCCTTTTTATTTTTTCTACATCATGAGAATTTTCTTCTCAAAGGAAACAAGAAATGTCAGAAAAGCACAAGGAAAATTAATATAAGCTGCAAAGTACTTCCCTTACTTTCTACATTACTGCAAGGTGTCTCTTTCTGTTTTCCTTCTGTGCTGCGGAGGAATCAGCATGCCTTTGTAAAATGAATTACTTATTTACTTTGTTTCACACACCATTAACAACGCTAATCCAGATAGAATCCCATTTCGTTTCTGCCATCTCAGCAAAGTAGTTGATAACAAAACAAAACAGAAATGACAGAATGTTTGTAGAAGTTCAGGGGCTTCCATTCGTTTCCACCTTGAATAAACCTGAAACAGAAGACAAAGTGGCTGTTTGAAAGCAACCAATGTGTTCTGATTATGATGACATTCTTTAGAAGAGTTTTGGTTGAGAAACTTAATATAGCTTCGACAAACTGTCAGATATTAGGGAAGCGTCTGCTGTGGCTTAAGTACACTTTGCTTTGAATGTAATCTATCTTGTTTTTTAATAAGTTGTTTATTTGTATTTCTAGTTTATTGGAAGAAACATTAGCTCCTAGTTTTCCAATCGATGGAAGCCCACAAATACATTTAAACCCTTTTGTATTTCAGACAATATTACAGAAATAATAGATGATAGTAGACCACAGCCTGCTTCTGTTGATGATGTATCAATAGGGCTGTGCATGGATCCATTTTTCAAAATAGGCTTGGGCTGATTCAGCTCTTTTGGCCAGCTGTAACGGCATGGGGCCAGTACCTTTTTTTTCTGGCCACCACAGACCACGCACCTGCCAACCACGGCTACTTTTGGTTTTATTTGGCTGCATGTGGAGTGCAGAGAGTCAGCCATCCACCTGTACAGGGGGTTCCTTGTGAACTTGGCCTGTTGAGC